GGATAAAGCTGTGTATGGACAACAGACTGCATTCTCCTCTGAGATACATTGTTAACAGTACGAGCTGCAGTGGGATAATTTGATTTGCTTTGTGTGGTGTGGTGTGAAACCTGCTGTAAGCTATCAGCGATCGGGGTATAGGGATAGGGTCTCGCATATGTCATGGACTGTTTGACAATACAAGATAAGATAGGATTGTGTACCCATTGCTTAGAACGACGTTTGTGAGTAGGATAGTGTACTTTACTGTGACTGAGTAACCATCGGAAGCTGCAGTAGGACTTGGTTTTGTGTTGAGTGCAATGGTGTGAAAACCTGTTGCAAGCGGTTAAAAACTATATTTTTTGATGACGTAGGGATAGGGTTGTGCATTTTGAATTTTTGAAGACGTAGGGATAGGGTTGTGCACTTTAAATTGTTAATGTGTAGCTCACAGTACCCCACAATTCAGGTCGGACTAGTGAGGCGATTGGACCAGTGGATATAAATGGGGCTGACCAGACGGTACTTTGAAAATAAGGGGGGTCTATATTTTTTTGACGAGTGGGTCAGAACAGGTACCGTACTGAAACAACATGATAGAATTGATGGGAGATCAGTATAAGTACAATGATGACATTTTCGAGGGTCTTTTTGCGGGTCAGGCGTCAAAGTGTTCCGCCAGATGGTGGGAGTTACGGAGACGAAGGTGGGAATGAGGAAGACGGTGTAGTATAGGGGGACGAAGGTGGATTCCCCCTGAGGAGACGGCGTGGCGGCGGTCGAAACCAGTCGGGGTGCCATACCCGCCGGAGGAAATGAGTTTTTGTACTTGTGCACAGTCGTGTACCATTTTGGGCACAGTTGTGTACCATGCTCTGATTTTCATGTATTCACAGTCATTGTGTATGCTTGATTACGAGCACCATTATCAACACCAAGAACCCGTCCTCGCATCACCATACTTGGTGCTCCTTTCTAATATATTACCCCCACCGATTCCCCCTTCACCCCCGTCTTTGCCCTTAGCCGGAAGGAACCCCCCTCGCCCGCCTCCACGCCCCGCCTCCTCACCCTGCGCTCTTTGTCTTTCCCCGTGCTCGCCTTGCACCTTTCCCCGCTCGTAGATTGACTACTTGAAAGGAGTTCTTGATTGAGGGGAGGAAGCTGGAAGGGGGGGAATCGAAGGCAAGCATTCATGGTGAGGGGAGAGATGGGGGTGAAAGGGGAAGGCGGAGCCGGTGGGGGGAGAGCGACGGGGACGGGGCGATAGGAGGGTGCACATCTTTTTCTCTGTCATTTTTGCAAAATGCGAAAATAAGATCGATAAAATCATTTGTCACACTTTCGGTATACGCGAAAATGATGGCCTTCCCGCCTGCATTTCCCCGTTCCCCGCTCTTCCCCAACTGACACCGCCTTCCCCCTTCACCACGTGTCCTGCGCAGTCCTCTCTGCCTTTCCAGCCTAGCAACTCCCATGTGCCTTTTCGTAACTTCTTGGGTGACGGGGACGCGGAGGCAGATGGGAGGAGTGGCAAGAAAGAGAGACGAGAAGCGAGGACGGGTTCTGCGCTCTGTTTTTGCCTTCTACAAAAATAAAACCGATAATATTATCGGTTTTAATTTTTTGCACAACGCACAAACAGAGCACATAACCCGTCGTGGCTTCTCCTCCCTCTTTCCAGCCTTCCCCCTTTGTCCTACCCAGACCTCTCCGTCGTTCCCGCTTCACAGCTTCTGTGCGCCTCCAGGTAACTTCTTTGTGCGCCCTCTTTCCACCTGTGTGCCAATGGAAAAGTACCCCGCCCCCAACTGATCTACAACTACAAGTCTGCTGCTAATGGACCTGTTGGCAGTTGGTTATAAAATCGAACCGATAATTTTATCGGTCCGGTTTTGTACGTTTTGCGAAACCAGACAGATAAAGTTTTTGCCTACGGACAAAACCAGACCAATAATTTTATCAGTCCAGTTTTGCTAGACTTCCAAAACCGGACCGATAAAATTATCGGTCCTGTTTGGAACAACAGGCGTGGGGGCGCAGACCAACAGGCAACAAGCGGGTCAAGCCACATAATTTCTACGCACCGACTTTGGCGATTTTTCACGCCCTGAATACTTTATAGAAAAAACTGAATGTTTAGGATCCAGTAGACTTGGTCGTGTTCTTTTCAGGAAAAATATCAAAAAAATGAAAAAAAATGGTTTAGATAGTGAAATAATTGACGCGCCAAATCGGCGCATTTTCCATTTTTGCCACTCCACCACCTATCGGCCAAGGGAAAAGTGCCCTGAATTCAGTGATTTTTTGCTCTCAGACCAATGCAAAGCAACATCTGAAAATAGGTGGCCCAGTAGGATAGGTCGTAAACGTTTTAGGAAAAATATCAAAAAAATAAAAAACAAATTTTTAGATAGTAAAATGATTGCCGCGCGGATTTGGCACATTTTCCATTTTCACCACTATGCCACCTGTGGCAGCCGTGGCGAGGGTGGAAGGCGGTAGGGGGGGGAGCGGCAGCTGCGGTGAGGGCGGAAGGCCGCGTCGGGCGAAGGC